AACATTTAAAGAACACCTAACAACAATTCTCAAACTATCCTCAAAAAGTTTGAAGAAGGAGGAGGAGGAGGAGGAGAAGAAGAAGGAGGAGGAGGAGGAGAAGGAGAAGGAGAAGGAGGAGGAGGAGGAGGGCAGGTGAGATAGCTCAGTGGACTAAGTGCTTGCTTAGGCAAGCACAGGGACCAAGGTTTGATCCCTGGCACCACAGGCCATGCCAGCCCTGCCCCAGGTGGAGTCCGGGCATGGAGGTACACGCCTCTAATCCCAGCACTAGAGAGGCAGAAAACAGGAGGATCAGTAGGAGTCTGAGCTGTGTATTGAGAGCCTGCAAAAAAACAAAAGCAACTTCTAATTCATTCTATGAAGCTGACCAAACACTCATAGCAAAGGCTGTCAAAGACATGAAAAGAAAAAAACTACAGGAAAATATCATTTATGAACATTTATGCAAAAACTTCAACACAATACTAGGAAACCAAATTGAGCAGCATTTTAAGAGGATTATGTATTACATCCAAGTAGAATTTATTTATTTATTTATTAATTTTGCGGGGAGGGAGGAACTAGGAATCAAACTCAGGACCTTGTGCTTGCCAGGCAGGAGCTGTGTCCACTGAGCTATAACCCAACCCAGAATTTATTCTTATAATACAAGGATGGTTCAACATATGAAAATTGATCAATGTAATATACCACTTTCGTAAAGGGGAAGAAGTATACCTTCTCAATGCAGAAAAAGTTTTAACAAAAAAACTTTTTAACAGAACTCAGCATCTTCTCATGAACACTCAATAAACTAAGATTAGAAGAAAATTAGTTCAACATACATGAAAACCTCATAGAGAACATCATATTACATGTTCAAATACTGAAATCTTTCTATCTATGATGAGAAAGAAGGTACAGATTCCTACTTCAATTTTACTCAATACAATGTTAAAATACTAAAATTTCTAGCCAGAGCAATTAGGCAAAGGAAAGAAAAAAAATCCAAATTAGAAAGGAAGTAGTAGAAGGAGCTGGTAAAATTATCCCTGTGCACAGATGCTACAATCTTAAAAAACTATGTTGAAAACCATAAAGACATCAACCCCCAAAATATTTTAACTAATAAATAAATTTAGCAAGATAGCTGTATGCAAAGTCTATATACATACATTTCATTTCTATCTACTAACAAAGAACAACCTGAAAGGGAAATTATGAAAACAATTTCATCTATAGTACCATCAGAAAGGAATAAATTACTTAGGAATTAACAACTAAGTTGGTGGAAGACAGGTACAATAAAAACTGCAAATCAGGTTGGGCTGGGACGAAGCTCAGCTTACAATGCTAAACCCTTAGATTCAATTCCTAGTACCCCAAAACAGACAAATAAGCAAAACTATAAAGCACTGCTGAAAGAAATTACAGATGCAAATTAATTAGCATATCCCATTGTCCATGGAGTGGGTATTATTGTTGAGATGGCAGTCCTGTCGCAGGCAATCTATAGACTCAATGATATTCCTGTGAAAATCCTAAAGGCATCCAAATTCCTATCAACATCCCAATAATATTTTATACACAAATAGGAAAAATACCCTAAAATTCATATAGAATTTCAATAGCGCCAAATATACAAACCAATCTTAGCAATATCTTAGAGGACTCACATTTCCTGATATGAAAGCTTTCTATAAAGTTATAGTAATCAAAACAGTGTGGGGTTGGCATTAAAACAAATGAAGAGCCTAGAAATCTCTGGAATGGTGCACACCTGTGATCCTAGTGCACTGAGAAGCTAAGGCAGGAGGATTTTAAGTGGAACCCCACCCTGCGAAACTTAGAAACGTAGTGATCCTGTTTCAAAATTAAAAAATAGAAAGGGCTGAGGATACAACAGTATGCAAAATCCCTGGGTTCAATCTCAAAAAATGAAAGAGAGAGAGAGACAGAGAGAGAGAGAGAGAGAGAGAGAGAGAGAGAGAGAGAGAGAGAGGCAAAAACTCTTGCTTATGTGGTAAAAATGACTTTGACAATGATCCAAGTCAAATTAATGGCCAAAGAACAGTCTTTTAAGCAAATGGTGCTGAGAAAACTGGATATCCACATGGAAAAGAAAGAATTTGGACTCTTACTTAACACCCTATAAAAATTCATTCAAAAGGATCAAAGAACTAAATATAAAGCATACAGCTATAAAAGTTTTAGGAGAAAACCCAAGGGTAAAAGTGTGTGATGCTACTTTAGGCAATGATTTCTTGGGCATACCCCCAAAGGTGCAGGTAACCAATGAGAAAAACAAAGTAGACTTCATAAAGACGAATCCACAGGCAGTATCAACAGAGTGAAAAGGCACCACACAGAATAAGAAAAAAATTATAAAATCATATATCTGAAAGGGTACTATCCAGAATACATAGAAAACCAGTAAAACTCAGCAACAACAAAAAATGGGTCACCAGCTCAGGAATAGGCAAAGGATGAGAACAGACTTTCTCAAAAGAAGATAAGTGGCCATTAAGCACTTGAAAAGATTCTTAGCATCACAAATCATCCAAGAAATGCAAATCGGAACTACAGTGAGACACCACGGCACACTCTTCAGGACAGCTCCTATCCAAGCAGAAAATCTATGTGAGTGTGCTCGTGTGGGGCACACGCTTATAATCCAGTATTTAAAGGCTGGGGCAAGGGTGTCCCTGAACTTGAGGCCAGCTTAGGCAACATTGGAGACCCTTTCTCAAAACAAGCGAAAAACAGATTATGTGTTGATGAGATATGAAAGCAGAACTTGGTGCATTTTGGTATAAATGTTAAGACAGTATGTCCACTATGGAAAATATCATTGTTCTTCAAAAATTTAAAAATAAAACTATTATGTAATTCAGCAATTTCACTATTGGGTACATGCCTAAAGGAATTGAAAGTTAAGTCTCAAAGCACAGTCTTAAACATGTACATTCTTGTTTGTAGCAGCAATATTCACACCAGCTAAAACATGGAAACAACCCACGCATACCCTGGTGGGTAAGTGGATGAGCAGTCATGAACATCCAATGCTGTATTATTAATCCTTGAAGAGGAAGGATGTTCTGGCATATGCTGCAGCATGGATGAACCTTGAGGATATTATGCTAAGAGAAATAATCCAGTCAGAGAAGGACGAATCCATCTCCATAGGGGCTCAGAGTACTCAAGGCCACATGGAGAGAAAGCAGATGAGTTGCTGCCAGGTACTGGGGGAGGAAAGATTGGGAAGTGATTGTTTAATAGGTACAGAGTTGCCCTGTTAAAAGATGGAAAGAAATAATGTCTATCATCAAGACATCAAATAATAGCAAACACTGGCCAGGCTTCTGGGGTGGGGGGAGGAACTCTTCTGCACTGTTAATGAGAATGTAAGCTAGTACAATTGCTATGGAAATTCTTCCCAAAGCTAAGACTACAAATTCTGTTTGACCCAGGTGTGCCCCTTCTAGGTATCCTCCTGAGAGAGTTAAAGACATCGTATTATAGTGGCACATGCATGCTCACATTTATAGCGTGAAATTCACAATAGCTAAATCCTGGAGGTCACCCACATGTCCATCAACAGATGAATGGATAGAGCAAATGCGGTGTTTAGACGTAATGGAGGACTGCTCTTCCGTAACGGTGCGTAGGACAGTGAGAGCACCTCAGGACCATAGTGTTGATCGAAGCCAATCAGACACTCAGGCCTAACGACCATATGTTTCACTTAAATGAGAAGCCCAAAGAACAAATAAAGAGCAAAATAAAATATAGGTAAGGGAGGAGGGGAGGTAGATCTTTCTCAAATGCAAAGGGAATCTAGAAACTGGGGGGAAAGGATAAAAATTGTTTAAAAAAAATTTTAAAAATAATGAAATTGAGGGAAGATGAAAAAAAGAATTAAGGTGGGTTACTTACGTGCATCACGTCCACACGAGGAATGTAAACATTACGTGTGCAAACATACACTTAAGAAAAGACAAGATGAAAAGGAGCTGTGAAGACGGATGGTGGTGATTGTCATGCGGCATTATGAGTGTATGCAACACCAGCGAACTGAATACTTTGAAGTGGCTAAGGTGGTAGATGTGTATATTTTACAGTAAAAAAATGGAATAAAAACTTAAAAAATACTTATTGTTCAAAAAAAAAAAAACCCACCCCACAACCACCAGCACCATCAGAAAACCCTTAGTGAGTTGGGTTCACAGAGCTGTGGGAACATTTTTAAGCCATCAATTCCTTTTTTATCCCATGCTAAGCCCCTCCGGGGGAGCCCAAACACTAATAAAGCTTTGTAGTGCTGTTACTTTGCGGATTGTGAGACTAGGGATTTGTACCTGAGTTCTGATAATCTCTTCAAAACATTCCTGCTGACCAGGAGTGCCCTTGTGGCTGTGGAATAAGCCATTTCACCTTTCAGGTACATGCTGATGACATATTGAGACGCGCCGAAGGCTGCTACACTTAGCTTAGGGCCAAGGGGTACCTCAGAGGGTGTCTAATCCAGGCTGTGTGGCCTAGAAAAATATCAGCCTCTTCAAGCCTCAGGTTTTCTTTCTATGAAATATAGAGTAAGATACTCCAAAGAGCATTAAATGAAACAGACCTGGCATAGAGTGAGAACTGCCGTGCTGGGCACCCCTTGCTTCTACTTTGAAGGAATTGCTCATTTCTTGAAGGGAAAATTCTAGAAAGTTCACCCTTTACTTTCAGCACAACACCTGCCACACAATCTTTTGTTCTCAGTCCCTCTTCAATCTGAGTAGACTGCAGAAGTGATTCTAGACTCCCGCTGCCACAATCAAATAGGACTGTGTAAATTGTCAGGGTTGTGTAACCCTGTTAAATTAAGAAATATTCTCTCTTGCAAATGATCTTCAACCTTGAACACACCAAAAACAACACTGGGTATTATTTTAACTTTTTCCGACTATGGACGAACACCAAAACCAGTGGTGACAGCTCTCACCTAAGAGGTGAGGCACACGCCAACTTACCTGGCTTGTCCAACACCTCAGTCTTTGCTCCCGTGGCCCTGTTCTGTAGCAAAGCTCCCACGGCACTAGTGACCGTTGGTTCTTTCTTAGGGCTTGCCTGAGCCCTACCCTACAGGGATTCAGACAAAGCACAGTACTGTAACCTTAGGAACCAACAGGTTAACTGACACTCGGCCAGTGGATTAGTGTCATCTACATGGACAGGGGCAGACATACACCCTGCACCTCAGTTCATTTGGGTCCTATCCCTTCACCCCACCCTCATGGCTTGCTCAAAGCCGTACATACTTGAATTTTGGAGTTTTAATCCCACAAGCAAGCCTTCGGAATTGGTGGTGGCTTGTTTACTTTATAAAACTAGCTCAGTGGAGACATTAGAAATCACTTTATGTCAATAAAGGTTGTGAAACATTTTATTTTACTTTTTTTAATTGCACCTTAAGATGAGTTTGTTTTCTACCAAGAACAGAAAAGAAAAGCTGACTGGCCAGCAGCAAATGTTTTAAGCATGGAATTCCCAAGTCCTCGGGTTATCTCAGTCCTTCCAGAGCAGTGGCAGCGTGGTGGGATTAGCCTGGGAGGACCGACAGGCTTGTGCTGAGTGCCTTTCACCTTGCTGCAAGCCCCTCTGGCCCCACCCAAGCTACAGGGAGAGATAACCTGTTATTCTGCGTGAGAATTCCTGCCTGGAAAAGGGGCACTGGTGAGATGACAGCAGGCAGCTCATCCCCATCCAAAACTGGCTATTTTTAGGGGTCCATATTGGGCTCTTTGGGTTAAAGATATGACACACTTTTAAAGTTGATTATGTTCAAATGGAAACACATTTAACAGCCCTTCAAGACTGAAGTGACCCCCCCTTGCTGCTCCAGTTCTGAGTGAGCATCACTATTAATGAAGTCCCCCAAGCAGAGATGAGGAGCGCCTTGACCATGGGTGACAGAACTCAGAAAGCAAGCGAGTTCTCCTCTGTGCTCCCAGGCTCTGCTTAGCGCTAGAAAACAAGGAGAGGAACAGTGCCAGCTCGCCCTCTTTGGGCCTACCAAACACTGCTGTCTGCTCCTTCCGTGTGCCCTCTGTGGCCGCAGGAATTGGGGACAGAGGAGCCACTTGAAGAAATTTTGATTCACTAAAGGGAAGTTACACTTAAGAAGCACTTTCAAAATCAGGTTGAATTCAAGCCTCCTAGCAGCAATCACTTCTCCCAACAATTATTCCATGTTCTTCCCCACACTCATTAGTGCTCTAACTCCCCTGCTGCAATCTAAACCAGCTGACCACTTTGCACGTACTGCCCTTCTGGCCTCCAAATTGCAGAAGTGAGCTCATTTTGAATCCTACGGTGAAAATATTCCCTTGCCTTTAAAGATGATCAGGAATCCCCCTCCACAGCTCTCCTTGTGTCAACTAACCTACTGCACCCTGGGCTGTTTCTAAGTCTCTGATAACCAGTCCCTAGCATGGATGGTCTGATATATGGCAGATAGGCAGTAATTCCCTATTTTAGGGAAGGAGGGAAGGAGGGAGAGAGAGAGATTGAAATCCATCGACTTCAGGATATGCTTATGATGGAAAAGTCTTACCCTATTAGTGGATTTACTGAAGGATTTCTAAACAAGCTGAATGCTCAAAGTATCCAGGACCAATTTAATACTTTTCTTGGTGTCTGAGCCATGCTCACAACACTAGTGGCTTTTACACTATACTATGAGTTATGTCCCCGAAATTCTGCTGTCTATGGAGCTGTTTGCTGACCCCAGTCCTCTGTGCCTGCAAAGCTATTGTTATCCGCTCAGGTGGGCATTTTACTTACGAGCATGTGTTTGTAATGGTGGCTTTCATTCATCTGCATGTCCCTTTAACTTGCAGACTCTGTGGCTTTGAAAAGCCCGAAGACCCCAGCCCCATAGGTGAAAACGCATGGTCTGTAGGGCATCTTCCTAGTGGCCCCCCATCCAGGCCGTGCCACTCAAAGTCCCATCTTTTCTCTGAGTGGTTTAGGGTGATGATTAGCATTAGCTAAGCAGGGTTTCTCATAACATCACAGAAGTACTTTGCATATATCACAGCCTTCATCCTAAGAACCTTAAAACACTGATTTTTCTTTTTAGACACCCAAATCATCCTGCAAAGATGATTTCCAAAGAAGTGACAGTAGTCAGCTCTCTTGATCCTTTCCTTCTTAAGAATGCTAGTTGGGGAACCCTGGTAAATTCTCCCTGCTTTCCCCAGGTAAGCCAGGACACAAAGCCCACACCTGGATATTTACCTGAGCTCTGGATGCCAATTTAGCTGCAGTCTGAGCTGGATCAAAGACACGACGAGAAGATTGATCTTTGCAGAAATTAATATGCCGACCAGCTGCGGTTTCATTAAATCTCCTCATGCAATATGGGCATTGGATATAATCTAATGTAAAGATAACAACAGAGAGCCAATCAACATTTCAGGGGGCTGGGGAGATAGCTTAGTGGTCAAAGCACCTGCCTGGCAAGTGCAAGGACCCAGGTTTGATCCCCGGTACAGTATGCTGTGTAGGCCCTGGAACCCCAGGTGCTGAAACTGGGTGTGGTGGTACACACCTGTAATCCCAGTGTTGGGGAGGCTGAGACAGGACAATCACTATAGCAAGACCCTGCACCAAAAAAAATAAAGATAAAAAAAATTCAGAAACAAATATGAAATGGACTCTGTGAGATGAGCAGAATATGAACTGTGTTCTAGAATGAAAGAACAAGGTCCCAAACTCTGGCTTGGAGCAGAGTATGACACAGAGCTGAAGCCAAGCAAGGACCAATGTACAGGGTGCGGCAGGAAGAGTGTCACTCTGTAAGCACTCATCTCTCTTTCTCTCTCTCTCTCTCTCTCTCTTTTTTTTTTGTGGAACCAGGGATTGGACTCCAGACCTTGAACACTCATTTCAGTCATGAGAGCACCCATAAAACGTGTGTGTGGCACTTTTCCTTAGAGCATAGATACATTATACTAAGGAACGTCCCAATGTAATGGATTAGTTATTAGATCCTCATGTAAAGAAAGCAGCCCACAAGTGGGGGCATGTTAGCACTGAGGGTGAGGAAGGGCACCAAAAATCCAAAGGGAAGCATAGGCCACGATCCTGGCTGGGACAGGAGGTTGCGTGGAAGTTGTTGTGTCACAGAGGGAGGTAATATTTCATTTCAAAGCATGGTCTGGGGGTGAGATTAGAAGGCAATGTCACTATATCACCAGTGGAAATAGTGTTTTTGCAGCGGCTAGATTTGTCTCACTTTGCTAGGTGAGGAGGCCAATGAGTGTTCAGGAGAGTAAGAGGATAAAAGATGTGAGAGGTCAAATAATCAGACAAGGAACCAAAGAGGGGTGACGGGAAAATGGCCGCAGACTCCGCTTTAGTTTCATGATGCTAATTCCAGGCAGCTCCTATTGGTCCCTGAAGCCCTCTGGGGTTCTGCACAATACTTTTGCGGCTCAGTGTTTCTTTCATTTGCAATGAGTGGATGTGACTGGCTAGCCAGAGAATTGGGAAGTGAGAAAGATGCAGGTCTTCTTGCAACGCAGAGCTGCTTGATGCAAAGCTCAAGCAGAGCCTCCTGTCTGGGTAGAATTTGCTATTTGGACAACTTTAAAGGATAACAAAGGGGATACGAGAGACACAACAGAACCTTTCCCCCAAGGTTCCGAGACTACACCAACATTAAACAGGAGAGAAATGCAGTCAAAATTCCTACATTCTTCAGCTGTTTGGAGCATTTTCTATCTGAACAAGTCATGTCCTACTATTGCTCACCCATCATTTCCCATTCTGAAAGGCAGCACTTGCTGATCAAAACTTCCTGGGCTGGGCCGTATAACTGCCTGCCTGGCAAGTGCAGGGTCCCGAGTTTGATCCGCCGTACTGCGTGCTGTGCCAGCCCCAGAACCCTGGGTGCACCATGCTGGCTGTGAAACTGGGAGTGATCATGCAGACCTGTAATCCCGGCACTAGGGAGGCTGAGACAGGAGGATCGCTACAAGTCCAAACTGCATAGTGAGACCTTATATCAATAATAATAATAATAATAATAAACACCAACTTCCTGAACACCTAACTGGTGGCAGGCAGTTTCTTTTTTTTTTTTTTTTTTAAATGGTACTTTTTTTTTTTAATTATTTATTTATTTATGTGTGTGTGTGGCCAGCTCAGCCCACCAGGGGGCAGGGCTGGCTGGCATGTGGTGCTGGGGATTGAACCGCGGTCCCTGTGATTTGCTAAGTTTGTTCTAAGTAGGTGCTTTAGACCACTGAGCCATCTCACCAGCCCCAGCAGGCAGTTTCATAGATGGTACCACCATGCCTATCCAGGCAAGGAGTGAGCATTCCAACACAGAAACAGAACAAAACATCCTACCGTGAGCAGTGTCTTCAAAGTAAACCAGCCAGACAAGACAGTATTGCGAAAAGATTCAGAGCACAGGATCCAGAGCCTGTTGGACTGGTTTGCTTGTGAACCTGGGCAAGTTACTCAACCTGCTCAAGCCTGTTTTCTCAGAATCACTCATATAATCTGTCTCACTGGGCTGCTGCTAAAGTGAACTATGATCATCCGCATGACAGCTAGTAGGACGGGTGGGACATGCTCAGTGTTTTATAAATGCTAGCTCTGGTGCGGCAAGGTTGTGTTTCCAATAAGAAGCAAGGCTGCCACTGGTTTGGAAAACACCAACACTGGAAGTGCTGTGATAGTTCAGAACTCATTAGTAATACTACAGAAAAAGCATGAAGAGCTTGGTGAGGTGACCAACAGGATGGTTATTCTTCAGTTTTTATCAGCTAGAAAAGTCTCATCAGAAACATTACTGCCATGAACCTACTTGGATCAGGCAAAGACATTGACTGTAGCAATTCTGAGCTGCCTCCTCCACTACAGTCCCCCATCGTCACCCTTCTACATATCTGGCATGACCTAATACCAAGGGAGCAACCAAAAAAGTAGAATAAGCACTTGCCTGGCAAGCCCAAGGGCCTGAGTTCAATCCCTGGTTCCACAGAAAGAAAGACAGAAAGAAAGAGAGAGAGAGAGAGAGAGAGAGAGAGAGAGAGAGAGAGAGAGAGAGAGAAAGAAAGAAAATAAGTTTAAGTGTAATTCTCTGCCAACAAAAACACTGAGGGTGATGAACCAGAAGGACAGTTGCCATTTGGGGGGACAAGCTGGGAGGCCAGGAGGCAGGAGCGGGCGGCCCTCTGGGGTCCAGGAAGGGATGATTCCCTCAGCCACAGGGTGCAGGTGGACACAGCCAGCTGTACTCATGCTGAATGTCAAACACTCTGAGGCTGGAGACCACTGTTCTACAGCAAGCATCTAGCTGGGGCACGCCGTCCTACATGTTCTCACCCTGGAGTCACCTTTCCTCATCTGTCCACCCCTGCTTTTATAAACATTACTACGTCCGACGTACATCAATAGAAATGATTTCAAAAGGAATATGGTGGCCGAGTCTCATGTAAAATTGAAGTAGAAATATGTCATTTTTAAAGGCAAACAGTGATGCCTATACCACATGAAATAGTGGCCAAATATCTTGGGGCTCATAGAAGAATCACAATTATAAATATTTTACATCACTGTCCCCATAAAGTATCACAATTTCCTGAAAATTTAAATTATCTTCCAACTTGGTTACATCAGTAAGAAGTAGAATATATGTACAATGTCATGAATACTGTTGTGAAAATAGGGTATCGACTGAAAGAAAAAAGAATTATCTGCAAACACAGGCATATTAGATTATATTATATATAATTCTAGTCGTGTGTATTCATAGATTTTCTAGTACTTAAGACTGAGAATACTGGGTAACATAATTTTTAAAATTTCTTTAAAGAATACAAAATAGATATAAAGAAAAAAAACAGCATTAGAAATGACACAAGATTTCACTAAACAAAGTAATAGGAATTCAACAACGGTTGCCCTATTACGTGATGCTATCCTCAAACTAGTTGCTCACACTACCAAGTATAAACATGTAAGATTCGTTTAAAGGGAAAAAAAATAATAAAGAAGTTATAGGAAATTCAAAAGAGGGAAAAAAGAGTAAAAAAAAATTTAAGTATTAATTTAAAAATTTCAAAAGACCAGCAGAAACCGACAACACAATTATCCAAACTATTCCGCATATAAAACCAAATATATCTTTTTCCCTTCTTTCACTTGTCCTTTTGCTCAGCCCAGCTGTTCCCTCCCACTGCACAGTGTCCTTCCCTTTCACAGTGTCTGGTGTACCCTTCAGACTTTCATTACTCTTTCTAGCTGTCACACTAGTGAGATAATACAATGTTTGCACATGTGGATCTCACTTATTTCACTTACGAGTATTGTCTCTGGCTGCATCCATTTATCTACAAACCTCTGAATTTTAATCTTTCTAATAGGTGAATAACACTCCATTGTGTAAAACTACCATATCTTTTTTATCCATTCCTCAGTTGATGGGTATTTGGATTGTTTCCAAGATTTAGCTATGACAAATTGTGCTGCTGTAAACATGGGCACACATATATCGCTGTGGTATGATAATTTCAGTTCTTTTGGAAAAATATCTAGGAGGGAAATAGCTGGCTTGAATGGGGCCTCCAATCCTAGCTTTTTGAGGAATCTCCATACTGATTTCCATAATGGATGTACCAGTCTGCACTCCCACCAGCAGTGGAGAAGGGTTCCTTTTTCCCCACAGTCTCTCCAGCATTTGTTATTGGTTAACTTCTTTTTTTTTAAATTTAGGACAGGGTGTACAAGGTGTACAGGGTCTCACTACATAGATCGGACTTGTAGTGATTCTCCTGTTTTCAGCCTCCCAAGTGCTGGGATTATAGGCAGTTGCCACCGCTCCCAGTCCCAATCGCTGTCTCCGCGTGCCCCGGGGGCGGGGCCAGCACGGCATGCTGGGGATTGAACCCAGCCACTGGGTCTGCCTAAGCAGATGCTTTAGTATGTTGAGCTATCTGGCCGGCCCTATTGGTTGACTTCTTGATGATAGCCATTCCTTCTGGCGTAAGACGGTATCCCAGTGTTTTAATTTGCATATCTTAAATGACCAATGATGTTGAACATTTTTTCATCTATTTATTTGCCATTTGTAGCTCTTCATTTGTGAAGTGAATATTCATGTCAGATTCCCATTTTTGGATTGGGTCCTTGAATTTTGGTGGCCTGATTTCTTTTTAATTCCTTATATGTTCTAGATAGGAGTCCTCTGTCTGATGGACAGTCTGCGATAATTGTTTCCCTCTTCATGAGTTTTCTTTTTACTCTGTTGGTGATTTGTTTTGACATGAAGAAGCTTCTCAAAAAGATGAGATCCCAACTGCTGTTGATTCTTTGAAGTATTTCCCATGCAGTTTGATTTTTGTTCATGAGTGCTTTGCCTACC